AAAAAAAAAAAAGAATTTTTTTTCCTGTACATTTCTTAATTATGGTTAATTGTAGATTGAGAAAGTCTTTTTTTTTTAAGATTTTATTTATTTGAGAGAGAACACAAGCAGGGTGGAGGGACAGAGGGAGAGGGAGAAGCTGGCTCCCCCACTGAGCAGGGATCCCAGCATGGGGCTTGATCCCAGGACCCCGGGATCATGTCCTGGGCCAGAGGCAGATGCTTAACCGAGCCACCCAGGCACCCCTGAGAAAGTCTTTCTTGACTGCCACACTACCACTATCAGCAAAACAGAAAAATAAAACCAGGAATGTTAATTAGGATTTTGTCAGTTGGAGACATTAGAAACCTAATTTAGAGTGGCTTAAGCAGGCACACACACAGAGAGGTTATTTCTTTAAGTAAATAGAAGTCCAGGGGTAGACAAGGTGATCCAGGCAAGACTGTTTAGTCACTATTGTGAACAGTTATCTTTCTTCCTAAGCTCTGCTTTCCTCTCTATTAGAGTCTTTCTCAGGCAGGCAGACTCTCTCCAAGTTTGGAAAGATGGCCACCAGCACACCCAAGGTTATATTCTACCAACTTAAAATTTTTAGAAGGAAGGGAGATCGTTCCATCAAAGTCCCATTTCAGCAAAAATATATTTTAATTGGATTATCTCTGAATAAATCACTGGGACCAGGGAATGGCTAGAATATCATGTGCCTTCCCAGACTAAACGGTAGATAGTCCATTTCAAATCGCATGGACTAAGAGTAGAGGGAGAGGATGTTCCAGAAATGGAAACCAAAAGAAGGGGTCCTCACCAAGTAAAAACCACAGATGTCCACAGCACTGGACTATGTACACTTCCTGGGTCACTTCCATGGAACTTTCTGCTGAATTTTAATTGTTTACTTATAAGCTCTGTATAAGCAGGGCTGTGTCTTGTTCACAGTTACATACCCAGGATTATTTAGAAGCTCTTGCACATAAAATGGTCTCAGTAATGAATAAATATTTCCTTGTCCTTCCTTCCCCCTTTATCTTCCTAGTTTCAGAGATAGTGTTTCCAATGTACCCTGTAGAGATTACACTGTGCCTTGCACAAAGGGAGCTCAACAAATATTTGTGAAGTGAATTTTAAGAGCAATGGTAAGGTAATAATAGGTATTAGCCATTGTTGCCCACAACCCCAGAGGTCAGAAGGATGTGGCACTTATATCAAATCTGTTAAGCTTACTAAATTTCCTTGTGCCTTTTCCCCATCTCTGGAAATTTGTTACTCTCCTTTTATCTATCTCAAACTTAATGCTTTTCCCCATCTCTTGGTATACCAGTTACTATCCGTTTCTTTTCTTTTCTTTGTTTTTTAAGATTTTATTTATTTATTTGACAGAGAGAGAGCACAGGTAGGCAGAGCGGCAGGCAGAGGGAGAGGGAGAGGGAGAAGCAGGCTGTCCGCTGAGCAGACAGTCCGACATGGGGCTTGATCCCAGGACCCTGGGATCATGACCTGAGCCAAAGGCAGCCGCTTAACCGACTGAGCCACCCAGGCGCTCCAGTTACTATCCGTTTTTGTGTCTTTTCTCTGTGTGAGGTTTCCTTCTTTTCTTTCTTCCTCTCTCTCCCTTCCTCCCTCTCTTCTTTCTCTTCCTTTCTTCCTCTGCAAAAATGATATATTGGTGTGGCTTCTGTGTCTTCTTCAGTGTACTCCTTTTTCTTATTTCTCACCTCTTCACTCCCTTCCTACTCATAATATAGAAATGGAATTTTTGTATTAATTATCGACTGTGTGTATATTTATTATTCTTAATTTTCAAGGCAAGTAAATAAAACATTTTAAATTCCCCTCTGTAAAAATTGGAGGTACTTGTGGTTTAGTGACTACCAAAAGGAAATAGATATCCTGTGACAGAGAGAACCCTGTCATCTCTCCAGAACTGCTTTTGCGATAAGTAATGAGAATATTTCTAGAATTTAACTCTACACCAAGGAAACCAGTATAAAGATACAGGGGACTAGTGCTTGAACTGTAAGATCAAATAAAAGGTAGAATTGTTGTTAAACAAAAAACGGTATATAAGATTTAAAGATTGATTATTTCCTTCATTTCTTCAAAATTAAAAGGGATTTTATCTTTGACAGTGAAATTCCTAAGGACTCCTTGAAGGCCATTCTGTTGGAGTTAGAATGTCACTTTACATGGAATTTACTTAAGGAAGACATTGATCTGTTTGATGTGGAAGATACAATTGGTCAACAGCTTGAATTTCTTACCACAAAATCCAGACTCACTCTTTATAACTTATTGGCCTATGTGAAACACCTGAAAGGCCAAAATAAAGATGCTCTAGAGTGCCTGGAACAAGCAGAAGAAATAATCCGTCAAGAACACTCAGACAAAGAGGCAATACGAAGTCTGGTCACTTGGGGAAACTATGCCTGGGTATATTATCACATGGACCAGCTCAAAGAATCTCAGAAGTATATAGACAAAATAGGGAATGTTTGCAAGAAATTGTCCAGTCCTTCTAACTACAAGTTGGAGCGTCCTGAGATTGACTGTGAAAAAGGGTGGGCACTCTTGAAATTTGGAGGAAAGTATTACCAAAAGGCTAAAGTGGCTTTTGAGAAGGCTTTGGAAGCTGAACCTGACAATCCAGAATTTAACATCGGCTATGCCATCACAGTGTATCGGCTGGATGATTCTGACAGAGAAGGGTCTATAAAGAGCTTTTCCCTCGGTCCTCTGAGGAAAGCTGTTACCTTGAACCCAGATAACTCCTACATTAAGGTTTTTCTGGCACTAAAGCTTCAAGATGTACATGCAGAAGCTGAAGGGGAAAGGTATATTGAAGAAATCCTGGACCAGATATCATCCCAACCATATGTCCTTCGTTATGCAGCCAAATTCTACAGGAGAAAAAATTCCTGGGACAAAGCTCTGGAACTTTTGAAAAAGGCCTTGGAGGTGACACCAACCTCTTCTTTCCTGCATCACCAGATGGGACTTTGCTATAGGGCACAAATGATCCAAATCAAGAAGGCCACACGCAACAGACCTAAAGGAAAGGATAAACTGAAAGTTGATGAGCTGATTACATCTGCTATATTTCATTTCAAAGCAGCTGTGGAAAAGGACTCTATGTTTGCATTTGCCTACACGGATCTGGCCAACATGTATGCTGAGGGAGGCCAGTATAGCAATGCTGAAGACGTTTTCCAGAAAGCCCTTCGTCTGGAGAACATAACTGATGATCACAAACATCAGATCCATTATCACTATGGCCGCTTTCAGGAATTTCACCGTAAATCAGAAAGTACTGCTATCCACCATTATTTAGAAGCCTTAAAGGTCAAAGACCGGTCATCCCTACGCACCAAATTGACAAGTGCTCTGAAGAAATTGGCTGTCAAGAGACTCAGCCACAATGCTTCAGATGTGCAGAGTTTAAGTGCCCTAGGGTTTGTTTACAAGCTGGAAGGAGAAAAGAGGCAAGCTGCTGAGTACTATGAGAGGGCCCAAAAGGTAGACCCAGAAAATGAAGAATTCCTTACTGCTCTCTGTGAGCTTCGACTTTCTATTTAAATACATACTCTAGGAAATTAGTTCTAAGCTTTCCTCTCCATTTTGGGTCATTATATTTTTTTGTTTATTATTTTAATCCATTGTTCATTATAGAGCCAATTTTTTGAATGGTTACATACCAAGCATCATCCTAAATACTTCATATATACATAATGATGAATCTTTTGCTGTTTTCTTTTTTTTAAATTAAACTAATATAATCCATTGAGAAATGAACATTTCAGCTATTGTAACTTTTAAAAATAGTATGGCCATTATGACTTTATACTCTTTATCTCTGCCATTTATAATAATTTTTGATTAAATTTTGTCAAATTTTCCATATTACTCACACAGTGAGTATAATTCTGCATAAACCCTGACAGCTAGGTCAGGAATACTCTTTCAGGAGTGCAAAATTGTATTAGTTAAACTCTTAACTATGTAGCTTGCAAAAGATGGACCCTTCCAGTTACAGATGTTTTAACTTTGATGAGAATATTTAACCATCAACCTGATAGTCACCTAAAGAATCCTCTTTGTTGAAAGAAAAAAGTTCATAATAATAAAAAGCTTGTCATCTGTGGTGACTTCAATAAAAGGAGAAAAAACTAGAATAGGAAAAAAAAAGATTTCTTCAAATACAGAACTTAAGGGACCCATGAAAAATCACAAGTATTATCTCCCAAAATGTTCATTAAGTAGCTAGAAGTAGTTGTGAGAAAAAAAAGAATAATGGAAAATCCCATGTCTTATGTTTCTCTGGTTCTTTTGTAACAAGAATGAACCTAAACTAATCTAGATGAAATTAATTTTATTCCTTCCCATTAAAATTCCAGTATGTTTAGGTTAAACTCATTGAGGTAGAAAGCAGGCCAGTTGAGAAATTGGGAGAAATGATAAACAAATGGGTAAAATAGGTATCCCTAACCTATATCCCTAGATTACCAAGATTTCTATGATTTGGTTTTGGGTCTGGACTGGATTGTTCTCATACTCCCAGTTTCTGGCCTTTAGTATTCCAAAGTTACTTCTGTGAAGCTTTTTCTTTTGTCTAAAGTTTTCAGATTGACATGTTTTCCTGTAGATCCTATAGGAATAGTTAAGCTCTGCTTTCAGTTTTAATATCCATCTTGAAGGGTCACTGTTTAAGGGCTCTTATCCCAGGGGACATTTTTAATTGGGATGTTGCTAAAAGTAGCTTCTGTAATGTTTCTTTGATTATATACTACACAATTATATCTACCACCACAGTATTATTGGAAAAGTGTGCCATGTGATTTAATTCTCCATACCTCTAATGTAGCTCTTAAAACTACTGTATACATACATGTTTGTTTTTTACTTTTTGTTACTTTTTAAAAAAAATTTTTTCTATTGTGATTATTATAAAAGTAATGAATTCTCATTGTAAAATTTCAAACATAACAGAAGCATATGAGTTTAAAAGTAAGAGCACCCCCCTCACCCTTCCCTAATTCTACACCCCCCATGGTAACCTGTTTACAATTTAATATGTATCCTTCTAGATATTTTTTCTGTGCATATTCAAACATACATCCATACTGCAATGTATTTCATAAATTAAATTTTAAAAATGTTTGTTTTACTTAAGTCCCTGCTGTTTTTGTTTATTTTGCTCATTTCATTTGTTTATGCAAGAAGGAAGAATGGGGAAGGGAATGATTTTTACTTAAGTATTTCAGAAATTCAAGATTGAAGTCCTGACCTATCAGTAGAAGCATTTGTCACATTTTGCAGCAAATATTTTATTTTGCAGCAAGTCATTTTCCCCTATTGGGAATAATGTTGTAATTAAAGTTGTGTTCCCAAGTAGGAAATTCACATGCAATATAATACATTTATGATATCAAAACAATACAGCTATAAGCCTCTACTTAAATATTTAGACTAAAGTCTATTAAGTGACTTTAAAATTCACTAGATATAACATACCAATATATAAGAAGTCATAAATACCAAAAAAAGTATAAAATCAGCATATGAAAAATACTCTATAGTAAATACTGAACTAAAATTAGTATGTTTATAATAACTGCAAATTTTGTCACTAATTGTGCTTGCCTTTCTAAAATTTAAAATTATTTAGAGATAATTTCATAGAGTCTTGGGTCTAAAAAAGACCTCAGAGTCCTTTATCAATTAGCCATCAAAACTTAGACCTTGAATTATCTTCCTAAATGATAATTTCATTTTCAGATAGTCCTTCTTCTTAGAAATTTGTTCCTTCTCATTTAACTGAAGACTTTTGGCCTGAAGTTTACACATTTTGGGCTGTCTTTAGGGACCTTAAAGATCTAATCCTTTTGAGAGGTGACATTTTGTATCAGAACTCTTAGTTGCAAATGGCAGAAAACCCAGCTCAAACTGACCTAAGCAAAAATGGGAATGTAGTGGCTGTTGTAATTTAATAATCCAGAGGCAGTACTAGTTTCGGATAAATTTGAAGAGATAAGTGAGTCATCAAATATATATCAGTGGCTAGTAAATCAAGTGATACTGAGTAGCCAAAAACCAAATGTCTACTATACATGTCTTAAAAGTATTTGAAGAAAATTGCTCTATGTCCCCCAAGAATTCTTTAAGTTAAACATGCTATTATCTTTCACCCCATCCCCATCTTCATCATGGTCAATTTTAGTTCTCTCCAAATTGTCTTTATCCTTGGCTAGTGGTTTTTGCTGAGAGGTTAACTTAATATCCAAAGTGAGGTTTTAGGACTATGGTAGAATGATCTTTTCTTTTTTCTATAAACTATACTTCTAATGTAGCCAAAATCAAAATCTCTTCTTGGTATCTACTCATGTGTTGGTTTTTCCACACATGCCATTTTAAGGCATGTTTTCCACATCCTGTACCTGAGCATTTGGCTTTTGAAAGTGTTTTATGTCACTTGGTAGCATTCAGCACTTCAAATCAGATAACCTGTACCTCTTAAAGAAGTTGAGAAAAAGTTTGTATATAAAAGGCTAATCATTGCAAATAACACCACAGATAATGGAGAACCTAACTTAAGTTGTCTTTATAATAGTAACAAAAATAAATCTTGGGGTTTTTTGGTTTTGTTTTTTAAGATTTTATTTTATTTTTTGAGAGAACAAGTGGAGAGGAGAGGCAGAGGGAGAGGGAGAAGCAGGCTCCCCACTGAGCAGGGGGCCTGATGCCGGGCTCAATCCCAGGGATCCAGGATCGTGACCTGAGCCAAAGTCAGACACTTAACTGACTGAGCCACCCAGGCACCCCATAAATCTTGTTTTTAAGCAAGACCTAATTTTGTTTAAGCAGTGTGACCAAGACATAATCACTCTCTACTGAGCTCTGATCAAATTTGGCTCCATTCTGAGAAAGCTCCATCTTTGTGATACTAAGATAGCTGCCACATGTACTCTTGTCCCAATGTAGTGGAAAAGAGCATTTCTGCTCCTCCAGCCACCTAAGAAGTCCAAGTTTGCTGTCTGATGGGACCACCTGAGGTTACATGCCATTCTCCAATCAGTCATCACGGCCAGGGAGGAAGTTATCATGCTCGTTAAGTTAGGCTTGATACACATAGCTGGCCCCGAAATTGAGGAATAGGGAGAAAATTGACTTCCCTGGAAGCACAAGGATTGTAAGGTGCAGGGGTGAAATTATCAAGAAAACTGGTATTGGATACTGACAGCCAAAACACCAAGGGTATATAGATTCAAATTACCTTCTTCCCCCATCCATACAGCTGTCCTTAGCAAGTAAAATATTTTAAAAAGGAGCTAGAGTCATTCTTAACACTGAAGCCCCTGGTAAACTTTTTTGTTGGGATTTCAGGTGCTGTGTCTCCTTAGTCTAGTTCTCTTCTTCTTCTTTTTTTTTTAAAGATTTTATTTATTTGAGAGAGAGAGAGAGAGAGAGAGCACAAGAGGGGGGAGCAGGAGAGGGAGAAGCAGACTCCCCGCTGAGCAGGGAGTCCGATGCGGGACTCGATCCCGGGACTCCAGGATCATGATTTGAGCCGAAGGCAGTTGCTTAACCAACTGAGCCACCCAGGCGCCCCTAAATAAATAAAATCTTTAAAAAAAAATGCTATTGCCAGCCTTACACACGAATATCTCCAGGCATTAACAAGTGGTCTCTTTAAACTGACAGCTGAACTTCACGAGCTTGTTACTCCCATGCAAATGACTGACAGGACCTCATTGGTGTCCTTAGTTACCCCCGCTCCAGAATTTCTCCAAGTGCCCCTAAATCAGGCCAAGCTACAGCGCCTGCCATTCACTATTGTTAAGTACTCCAGCCCAGGTCTTTGCTAATTGCGGTCTACACGCTACTGCAGGCTCCAGCTCTTTGGAGATCACCCTAGCCACCAATGTCTCCATTCCTATTATGATGTGAGAACTGGAACCGCATTGGGACTAAGGGTCCCTACCTGTGGACTGCCCAGCTTGAATGACTCACCCTCAGTCTGAGTCCACAGCTCTGTAGCTTGTCCCCAGCCAGGCCAAATGTGATATAGCCACCTCCACTGTGGAGTCCATGCTGAAGGGAGGAGGCCTTCTGGGACATTCCCCTTGATATCCACCCTTTCACACAGGTCTCCTCCTGAACTCCAGTACCATCCCCCACTGCCCTTTATCTGTATTCAACCATTCCTTTCCCACCTGAAGTCCACCTCCTATGTCTTTCAGGCTGTGCTCTGAAAACTAATTCAAATAAATTAGGTATATACATGAGGGTATTATTTATAGCAGTGATTCCTGGGGGAGGGGCACAAAAGGGGAGAGGATTTGGGGCCTTAGAGCAAAAAAAAAAAAAAAGAAGTTACTTTTGCCAACACACGGAGATTTTTTTTTTTTGTCACAACTGCAGGGTGCTGCTGACATCTAGTGGTTATAATTAAGGATGCCTCTTAAACATCACTAGTCCGCTTCCCACAACAAAGAATTATCCAGCCCAAATGTCAATAGTTGCTAAGGTTGAGAAACTCTGCCTTACATCTCTTTCTTAGAGGAGTTATTACTAAAGTTTCTCTTTTTTTTTAATTTAAAGATTTTATTTATTTATTTGACAGAGAGCTAGCGAGAGCAGGAACACAAGCAGGGGGAGTGGGAGAGGGAGAAGCAGGCTTCCCGCTGAACAGAGCAGAGAGCCTGATGCGGGGCTCGATCCCAGGACCCTGGGATCATGACATCCCAGGACCCTGGGATCATGACCTGAGCCGAAGGCAGACGCTTAACCATGCAGCCACCCAGGCGCCCCTTAAGTTTCGGTTTCTCAAGCAGATTTTAGATCAGTTGCCATGTTTCACTTTCTATTTCCTTTTTCTCTAGTTGCTGTGTTTTACATCTTGATAAGAATAAATTCAAGGGGCGCCTAGGTGGCTCAATTGGTTAAGTGTCTGCCCTTCAGCTCAGGTCATGATCCCATTGTCCTGGGACTGAGCCCCGCATCAGGCTCCCCGCTTGGCAGAAAGCCTGCTTCTCCCTCTCCCTCTGCCTACCATTCCCCCTGCTTGTGCGCTCTCTTGTGCGCGCTCTCTGTCAAATAAATAAATAAAATATTTTTAAAAAGAATAAATTCAAAAGACAATGCACTACTGATTTTCCCAAGAACGCGCTCAATCCAACTTTCTGTGAAAAGAAAGATTGATATATAAATTCCATCTAATGATTTCAACATGTTCAACACGCACTCAACACGTCGTTTCCTCAATCCTGAAAATGTATATTCTTTAAATTCTTTACAGATAGTTTTTGTCTTTCTGAATTTGAATTCTTAACAATATAAGTAGATAACCAAGATTTCTTTTTCCTTCGATGTTTACCTCTGATTGCTTAGTTGCTATTCATTTAAACCTGAATAAGCAAAGACAATCTCTTGGCCCAGATACAGCTAAGAGAAAGGAAGGGAAAGAAGTGGGAACAAGGAAGAAAAAACATGATAAACACACTGAAAATTTTTTCAAACACTGGAGCACTATCAAATTTTTTAAAGCCTTAGTAAGGAGGAAATTCTGGGTTTATTTTTCTCCCCACACTACACCATTCAGTACCTTTTCTAAAATGTGGCTTCCTGCTTCAGAAAAACATTTCGATAGCCTTCAGGCCCACCACATTACCTCTCAGATCTCAATTCTTATGACTTTTCCCCTGCTCTTCCCATTCCAACCACACCATCCATGCATGCCAAGTATGCTCCACCTCCAGGGGTTTGCACTTACTGTTTCCCATGCTGGAACTTTCTTCCCTAGTTTCATATCTACAGTGCTCACTCTTTCACCCACTTCAGATTTTTGCTCAGTTGCCACTTTCTCAGTGAAACCAGCTATTCAGCTATTACCAACAGATTTATACTAGCAAAACACACTGCACTCCAAGCCTCTCTGTGCTTTTTCTCCATAGCACCATCTGATACATGTTTCATTTGTTCTTTATTATTTTTATCTCCCATACTAGAAGATAACTCCATAAAAGTAGGTCCTCTGTCTGTTTTCTCATTACTATATTGACAGTGCTTTGAACAATGTCTGGTTCTTAGCAGTTGTCCAATATCATTTGTTGACTGAATGAATGATTGAATTCAAGGGGAACAAAAATCTAGGTTTATTGATATTTGGCATT